TTTATAATCGCCATTCTGACTGATGTGAGATGGTGTCTCATTGTGGTTTTGATTCACATTTCTGTGATGATTAGTGATGTTGAGCATTTTTAAAAAATGTATTTGTTGGCTGCTTGTATGTCTTTTGAAAGTGTTCATATACTTTGCCCATTTTTAAATTAGATTTTTGGTTTAAATTAGACTTTGGTTTGTAATGATTTGTTTAAGTTTCTTATAGATTCTGGATATTAGACATTTGTCAGAAGCATAGCTTGTGAATATTTTCCCCTATTTTGAAGGCTTTGTGTTTATTCTGTTGGTCATTTCTTTTGCAGTGCAGAAACTCTTTAGTTTAATTAGGTCTCATTTGTCAATTTTTGTTATTGTTGCTACTCCTTTTGAGTTAGCCATAATTTCTTTACCAAAGCCTATGTCAAGAAGGATATTTCCTGGGTTTTCTTCTAGGATTTTTATAGTTTGAAGTATTACATTTAAATTTTACCCCATCTTGAGTTAATTTTCATATATGAACGTTGTGGTCCAGTTTCATTCTTCTGCATATGGCTAGCCAGTTATTTCAGCACCGCTTATTTAGTAGGGAGTTCTTTCCTCATTGTTTATTTTTTCGATTTTATCAAAGATCAGATGGTTATGGGATGTGTGCTTTTATTTCTGGGTTCTCTGTTCTGTCCACTGGCTTAATGTGACTGTTTTCTCCCAGTACCATGCTGTTTTGATTACTGTAGCCTTACAGTGTGGTTTGAAGTCAGGCAATTTGATGCCTCTGGCTGTGTTCTTTTTGCTTAGTATTGCTTTGGTTATTCAGGCTCTTTTTTGGTTCCAAATGAATTCAGAATACATTTTTCTAATTCTGTGAAAAATGTTATGAGTATTTTGGTAGGGGTAATGTTGTATTTGTAAATTGCTTTGGGTAGTATGGTCATTTTAACTGTATTGATTCTTCCAATCCATGAGCATGGAATATTTTTCAATTTATTTGTATTGTTTCTGATTTCTTTCAGCAATGTTCTGTAATTCTTGTCTCTACAAGGAGAACTTGTTATCTTTTACCTTCTTGGTTAGATGAGTTCTTAGGTATTTCATATTTTTTATGACTCTTGTAAATGGGATTGTGCTCTTGAATTGATTCTCAGCTTCAACCACTATTGGTTTATAAAAATGCTAATGATTTTTATACACTGATTTTGTCAATTCCAGGAGCCTGTGTCAGATTCTTTAGGGGTTTTTTTTTTTTTTTTTTGAGGCGGAGCTTCACTCTTGTTACCCAGGCTGGAGTGCAATGGCACAATCTCGGCTCACTGCAACCTCCGCCTCCTGGGTTCAAGCAATTCTCCTGCCTCAGCCTCCTGAGTAGCTGGGATTACAGGCACGTGCCACCACGCCCAGCTAATTTTTTGTAGTTTTAGTAGAGACGGGGTTTCACCATGTTGACCAGGATGGTCTTGATCTCTTGACCTTGTGATCCACCCACCTCGGCCTCCCAAAGTGCTGGGATTACAGGCATGAGCCACCGTGCCCGGCCCTCTTTAGGGTTTTTTATGGAATCATGTCATCATCAAAGAGAGACAGTTTGACTTCTTTTCCTATTTGAATGCATTTCATTTCTTTTTCTTGCCTCATTGCTCTGGCTAGGACTTCCAGTACTAAGTTTTTTGTTTTGAGGTCTCACTGTGTTGCCCAGACTGGAGGGCAGTGGCACGATCTTGGTTCACTGCAACCTCTGCCTCCTGGGTTCAAGTGATTCTCATGTCTCAGCCTCCCAAGTAGCTGTAATTACAGGTGTGTGCAACCATGCCCAGCTATTTTTTATATTTTTGGTAGAGATGGGGTTTCACCATGTTGGCCAGGCTGGTCTCAATCTCCTGACCTCAAGTGATCCACCCACATCAGCCTCCCAAGAAGTGCTGGGATTACAGTGTGAGCCACCACACCTGGCCGATTTTTAAAAGATTTTTTAGTAATTTTTAGTTATTTGTTCATTGCAAGGATTAGGCCAAACAATGTATCCCATCATTAAGTCTCAGTTGCTAGTATTTTTCTTCTGATGAGTTCAATATGTATTTCCTTAGAATAAGGACTTTCTTACAGACAGCCTGGTTTAGTTAACAGAAATGAGGGTATTTAAAATTGATATAACAACACTATCGTCTAGTTCAGGGTTCATATTCAGATTTTATCAGTTGTTCTAATAATGTGTTTTATAAAAAATGTTTTCCCTTTGCCTGTGTTCAAACCCAGATCATGCATGGTTTTCATGTCCCCGTAGTCTCCTTTCATTTGGAATAGTTCCTTGATGCTTATATTTCTTGACCTTGATACTTTTGAAAAATACAGACCAGTTATTTTGTACAATTTCCCTAAATTTTGTTTTGTCTCATATTTTCTCACATTATTGTATTCAAGTTACGTATTTTCACAAGACCACTATAGTAATGATATATACTCAATTATTGATGTTTGGATTTTTGCTTTTTTTTTTTTTTTTTTTTTTG